GGATGCCTCCCCGAGATATTGAGATTAAGGGTTTGATAGCCATTCAAGAGCATGGGCACATCTTCGTAGCCCACAATGTCAGCGACGGCATCGGAAAAACGCGAAAGATTACCAGAAAGCTCAAATTAGCCCGGAGTAGGGAATTTAGGAGCCCGTGAGAATCCTCCATTGACAGGATCATAACGCGAAGCAAAATGTTTATATGCCTCTTCCAACAGCTCAACTTCCAAATCTCCTCCTCATCCGCTTCCGCACCGGCACCCCTCTGTTTGGAGTAAGTACCTTCCTCCGCAAACTCCTGGAGCTGCCTCGTAATATCTTTTGCACTTTCGCAACACCTCAATTGTTGCGTTTGCCACACGTCTCGTAGTTTTTCTAAAATCTCGATAAAGGTGACCTGCCCCTCTCCGCCAAGTGTGGAGGACGCACTGGAATGCGGGCCTGGCCAGTATGTGCCTCCAAAGACCGGTTCTAGATCCGGCGTGAGGAATACGTTTAACGGCCATCCGCCAGAGCCTGTTGTGGCCTGTACATAGTTCATGTATACATCATCGATATCTGGTCGTTCTTCTCGGTCGAGTTTTATAGGGATAAATGCCTTGTTCAGTATAGCCGCAACCTCAGGAGACATGAACGACTCTTTCTCCATAACATGACACCCTACGCCGAAAGTTGTCAGTTAAGCATCCCTTCCAGCGGACAGAACGGATAGAACTACAGACAGTGACACGCAGAATACCCAATACTTAGGAATACCATGCGGTTGAGTTTCTTAGCCAAAGCAATTGCTTCTGCATCCCATATTTGCCACGCAACAGGGTTATTCATGTGTCCGCGAACCTATACATACAATACTATTAGCATTCTTTGTTCCTTTTGAATAATACTAGCAACTATCTATCTCTTTCCCCCAAAGGACAGGTGTATATACATATGGTGATTTGCTTTGATTGAGGCGATTGACAAGTTCATGGGATGTTCCAGTTGCGATCGCCGAATCCGTTGCTTGCCGCTTCGATAAGGAAGCCATGTTGGAGGATGCTCCAAAATTTCGTATGAAGGATGGTCTCGCAATCCTATAAATATTTATCCTAGCAGCTGCAAATACCGATTTATAGATCATGGAATGGGCACGTTATCGGTGCCGGGATATGTGGGCGATTTTTTTTTTTTTTAAATAAAACCAACAAATTTGGTGAGGACGACTGGTTGGCAAAATGCACTAGTAGATTAACCCTAAATGGATGAATTGAAGGGAGAAGGCTGCTGTTTATTTACTTTCATGCTTTGGTTTCCAGCAATCTAGAATAGAATAAAGAGTGGGAAACAACGTAAATAAACCCCTAATTTGTATGCGTATTGATATAGCATCCACGGATTGCGCGAGATGCGGAGATCGTTATCGGATGACGGGGGTTTGACATCATACATCACGTGATAGAATACACAGCTAAACTTAACGGAGATAGTCCACTACTTATAGTACTTGTGAAGCAATAAGAGTGTTTATATTTTACACGTTTCTAGATAATACGGCACGCATGAAGCCGGTGAATCATTGCTCTTTGATTCTCTTGCGGGCTTGAACTAAAACGGTTGCTCTCTACGCCCTGGATGATCACCAACCAACAATTGGATACTATCCGTCACCGGAGATGAGCTGATAGGCAAGTCTACAAACCAATCATCTGACAACGGGAATTCAACAGGAGATATAGACTTTATCGTTTAATTTTTGAATATGCCCCATTTTCGTACGTGTTGACGCCAACCTAGTCATCGCCCATCAACCCCGCAAGCTCCCTCTCCTCTTCCTCAGTCAACGGTGACTCCTTAAGTCCATTACCAATTACTTCGTCCTCCTGGGATGCCCTTTCAGCTTTTGCTTTGGCCATTTCAAGCTGAGTTGGGTCAAGCGACCACTGCCGTATGGTGGCATCGATACTGATACTAACAACAGTCGTCCCAAGTATTAAGATCCCAGTCACTTCTTCAAAATGGCCAGAGAATGAATGATGCAACTTTCCAGTCTTCTGCCAGTCAGTAAATACGTACATTTAAAAGGGAAAAGCGGAGAAATAAGAAAAGGGAAAAAAGAAAATGCTCACCGCACGATTCCATACACGCACTTCCTCATCTCTACATCCCGTAACCACCCAGCCGCCCTGTTCACACACGGCAACATCCCTGACAAAGTCCGGATGGTCCAAGGTCATGTCCGCTTGCCAGTTCGCTTCTCTGGAGAGACATTTAGCAGTTTTATCTGCCGAAGCTGTCCACAAGTCACCATCTGCATCGAAGAAAAGCTTATAGACACTAGTCTCATGTTCCACTATCGGGGCTGACAGGGATTGTTCCTTCAAAGGGGTGGAAAGAGAGAAGTAACGAATGCTGCGATCACTTCCTGCGCTGAAGACATTGATTCGCTGCAGATCATCTTCAGAAACAAGAGGATCGACCGCAAGATGTAGTACTCCACGGCTGTAATCTTTGAAGACATGTGATCTTTTGCCAGTGCTGATGTTCCAAATGATTATTTCACCATCCGCACCACAGAGATGAGTAAATCGTCACCATCAAATTTCTGGGAGATAACCGTTTTTACAAAGTCTGTGTGGCCATGGTATCTATGTTTTTGCGTTCGCGAAGTAACGTCCCAGCTCCATATAGTCTTGTCCCAGCACCCGGCGAAGATAGTTGTGCCGTCGGAGGAAAAGCATATACTGGTTAATGGGGCAGTCGGTCCCCTGTAAAGGGTAGCAGTTTCACCTGTCTTTAAACTCAGAAAACCATTAACATGCAAGATAATCAATAGAAATGAATAAATTAACATGCAAGATAATCAATAGAAATGAATAAAAAAAAGTCCACCACTGACGGGGGATTCGATTATGCTCACCTACTTCAAGCACCACTTTTCTGAGAAGGCCCGCACTCTCAGCAACATAGACAGAGGAATCGCTAGTGGGATCAGCGGCAATCGCTAATAGTTTACTTTGAAGTTTGATGGGGTCGCCATTCGAGTTTCTTGCTTTCTCGGCTTTGCGACGGGATTCCTCCAGCGACGTTCTAGGAGACAGTCAGCAGCCTGGCTACCTTGAGCTGGGAGGGATAAACGGAAGGCGAACGTTGTCTGAAAGAAGTCATCTCGATGGGAAGATTGTGCCATGGTTGCGACCTGGGTATTGAGGCCCACAAAGCTACAAAGCCGCAAAGCCACTCAGACTATCGGTCTTGTTGGATATCCCTCTGGCATCAACTCTCTCCAACCCATCTAAATTCTGCCATGCAGTGCCAGAAACACTAGTCCTAATTGGGCTAGAATCCACTGCGGAAACTGCGCTTCCGCCTTCCCGTAGCAGCCTTCTGTCCACAACCAAAACAAGCTCTGCTGGATTTTCATCCTCCATCCTCTTCCTCTTCTTCCCTTTCTCTCTCCACCTCACCTCTCCCTAATCTCCCCCCCCTCTCCTTAATTCTGCTCTCGAATCCATCTCCACCCTAGCCACTCTAGCCCGCTTTGATTAGTTTGTTCTCTTCTTCTATTGTTCGCCTCGTCGTTTTCAGTGTTCGGAATCCTGTATACTCTTTTCTTACTGTGGTGCGTAGCTACGCGCAGAGCCTCGATTCATCATGGATATGAACCATTTCATAGGGTCCGTCGTTCCCCGTTCCCCTTTATTGCACACGCCTGAAGATTGAATTCTCTAATGCTAACTTGAAGCCCATAGACAGCGGTTTAACTTGATATCGAAGAGTGATATTCGGTTCGAGCGACTCCTTCATCCTGTTGATGATCCGTAGGCTCTGGAGCTGACTGGTATCACAGCTACGTTGGCACTCTCCATGAAATAAACCCGGAGGACTCCACCATTGCGCTGGAGAATGTCGTTTCACACGGCACGGAAGGACGACGTGGCAATCCCGCAGAGGAAATTGCCCCTTCTGCAACCGTGTACGAATACATTGTCTTCCGTGGAAGCGACGTAAAGGATATTAGTGTTACGGAGGAGCAGAAAGAGAACCAGCATCCCGAACCTCCTCAAGTACCCAATGATCCTGCTATCTTAGGTGTAAGTCAACCATATTGTTTTCTATTATGGTGATCATATGTCAAAAACCCGCCTCTCCGTTGATCTTCTGATGAAACATTCCGGATGTAAATCACAGACCTGTTCTGAAAGCGCAAAACCATGTGGATTCTTTCCGTTGCCTTCCTTCTGATCAAGATCTTACTTCACATTTTATTTAAACACCGTCGTAATACTGCTTTGGAACCAACCATTGGAAACATGGCTAACCAACCGCGTTGACAGAGTGGAACACGACCAGCACCTGCCCAAGGGCCTCCTCGCGTTCAATCAAATCAGTTTCAACCACCCAATGCTCCCCGTCAACCGCCGCCTGGTTACCCGCAGCAAACTCCGTTCCCCGGATATTATAACCTATATGGTCAGCGATTCGGCCCTCCTGGTTTTCCCCCTGGTCCTGGCTTTCCTAATGCTCCTTATGGTGGCCCGCAAGGATGGTACCCTCCTCCTGGCCAAGGCTTTCCCCAACCCCCTGGCCAATACCCTCCACCACAAATGCCTATTGGCCATCCTCAACAACCCCAGCAAGCACAGCAGCAGCAACGCGATGGCGGTCCTCAACCTCCTCAACCAGCAAATGTACCAAAGCCAACTTCGGAGCTGCCAGTCGGTGATAAGGTACCTGGCAAACCTGTAACTCCAGCATCCTCCCAGCCCCTTCACCCACCAGAACCAAAGTCCTCCACCCCTAAACCCACCGCTCCTTCGCTCCCAACAACAACAACAACAACAACAACAACAATAACGCAGAAACCAGCCACAGCACCCACTGCACAGCCATCACTGCCAGCGGTGGCTGCGCCCACATACAAGACCCCGCCCAAGGAGCCACATGCTGGGCCAAAATCCGGAAGGGTTGTACCTGCTATCCCTATTTCAAAACCAGCGGTTTCTTCCACAACCACCGCATCTGCTACTGCTACCTCAGGTAACGCTACTACGCAGTCGCCTGCGCAAAATACCAGAGCTACTTCTACAGCGATGCAGGACGCAACTCGAGCGGCTACTGCTGCTGTGGCCGCTGCCATGGCCAAACTTCCTCAGCCTCCAACTCAGGGCTCGCAGCCAGTCGAAGCAGCGGTTGAGTCAGTAACCAAAAAAGTAAGCGAAATGAAGCCGTATGAGGGAGACCGGGCTCCTCGTGGGGGCCATCAAAACGCTCGCGGCGGTCGGGGTGCTCATCGTGGAAACCATCACCACTCTCAGCATAAGAAAGTTGAGGTTCCTACCACTGACTACGACTTTGAATCAGCAAATGCCAAATTTAACAAGCAAGATCTCGTGAAGGAAGCGATTGCCTCTGGATCGCCACTTGGGGAATCTGAACATAAAGCAGTGAACGGCACAAACGGGTCTGAAGGTGCAGACAAAATCAATGGAACTGGATCTCACGTCGCCTATAATAAAGCGTCTTCCTTTTTCGATAACATCTCGAGCGAAAGTCGCGATCGCGAAGAAGGTTCGCGAGGCAAGACGAGTGGTAGGGAGTGGCGCGGTGAGGAGGAGAAGAAAAATATTGAGACGTTTGGCCAAGGAAGCATTGATGGTGGCTATGGTGGTGGATACCGGGGACGAGGGAGAGGTCGAGGTTATGGTGGATCTCGCGGTGGCAGAGGTTCGTACACTCGAGGCTACGCTGGCGGGCGTGGACGAGGAGGTTTCCGTGGCGGGAGAGGCGCATCGCAGGCTACCGGAGTTCCAACTTCGTCGTAGACACTGCTGTCCTACATTCGACCTTGCTCTCACTTCCGTCGGTGATGCCATTTTCTAAATCCTCTATCAAATGGATATACCCTTTTGAAATACTTTTTGCTACGTTGTCAGGGAGAACAAACCCTTCAATTGTACGACGGATAGCGCTTCCTTCCGCGTGATTATTTGACACTTTTGGAACTTCACCTGGTTCCCTTTGTTTCCGCCTGTGGTATTTTCCCGGTCACCCTTGACGACTGTATTACTTTGATCTAGTTTTTCTTTTTCTTTTCTCTTCTCTTTTCTTTTATTTTTTTCGTTTGGCAATGTACCTTGAGTGTCCTGTTGTCTGCCTATTCGTCCCGCACGTCAAATTTTTCTGGCGTTGGGCCGCTTCAAACCCATTCCCATATCATTGGGTGGGTTTTGTTTGCTTTCTTCTTTCAATAATTAACGACACGTTGTTACGTAAGTTGCGGGCTATAGTTATATGTTCACTTTTTTCACTGCTTATGGCGTGGTACGGGAGCGGGGAAGGCGGTTTGGGCGATTTGCGAATTTCAAAAATAACCTTTTATCTATAATCCTCCCTTTTTTCTTCGCTCTATTATTTTCTTCCTTTCCTTCTTTGGCGATGGGAGTGAGTGGATGCATCAAGAGCTTCTCGGTAGGCCGCTCTTCTTCGATTAACTATTATGGGATGAATTAGCCATGTTTTATTCTTCTGTTATTTCGTGTTTTATTTGTTTTTCCTTTTTCCTTTTCAATGATCTGTTGATGCCAACACAACTTCTCTTTCCATGCATCTTGTTCATGTACTTTCTTTTATATTCCCATTTGCCAGTTTAATTTCTTCCCCTACTGTTATGGAATCAGTCCTTTCACTTGTTGTGTTGACCTGTTTTTATTCTCTTGTTCACTATGTCTCCCTTGTATGCTTGCTTACTGATATGGGATATATCGATGCAGTCAGACATCACATGATGTGTGCTGTTCTCTTGTATTCTCTCTCTCTCTCTCTCTCTCTCTCTGTCCTTCTTTCAGAGGAAAAGAATTGTGATTTTCATCATGGTCTTTATCACTCACTACACTTTTTGGGTTGTCTTGGTGTGTCTTAGAAGGATGCAATCTGATCTCCCATGAAAATTTGCAAGCAAAATATAAAAAAAATAATAGAAAGGAAAAAAAATCGAAGTCTACAATAAAAATGACAAAAGATGCTCAAGAAAGCGCAGTTCGACTTCGAAAATATAGGATCTCTCTTATCCTTCCTCATGTGATTTTATTCTATTTTAAACAAAAACAAGACTATTATCCAGCTGAACATTGAAAAGGAGTTTTCGTGTGTAGTAGCATAGGTATGCTGAAGTAGGGACAGACAACTTGTATATATATACCTTCCCTCTCTCTATCCCTCGTATAAAAATAGAAGAGAGGATCTGCGAGCTAGCGCCTTAACTAACTAGTTATGCAAAAGAAGGTGACTAAGCCGCCCAAAGCTTGCTGGAGCCGCGGCTCGGACCAGATAGGAGCGGAGGGACTCAAAACATGCATTTGAACCTGGTTTTGAACCTGAGAAGAATGCCCTCCTTTCACACTCAACGCCTTCCATCGACCCTGTTGTGTTGCGCATCAGCTTCCAGCAGCCTGCTAGATGCCAGACGCTGCGGCTTCTCCTGCTATTATTCGTTTCTCGGCCCGTTTTGTCTTGTTGCTGGCTTCTTGACGCGGCGTGTTGGGCTGATTGATACATTTATCTACACGGGAGGGGGGATATACCCAACAGTACACGGCGAATAACATGGTCCAAGGAGTAGTGGGGGCGCCGTTATTAGATGCGGGCGATATCTTGCTCTCCTATCATTTTCTTCTCTCTTCTCTCTTTTATATATCTCCTTGCTTCTATACACCCATCGATCCTCTCCTTTCCCTTTTCCTCTCCTTTTACATTTCCCTAACCCAATTCCATTCCCAATTCTTCCTCGTAACCCTTTTCCTTTTTGAATACACCATGTCAGATTCGGTTGGTAAGTCCAATTAATCCCTGTTTCCCACCAAAGGTCTCCCCACGCCAGAATTAGAAGTTCAAGGCCGTCTCGATATAACAATTGATCACAATGTTGTTATATACCCCTCGCGACTCCCCGTTACCTCCCGTACAGTGGAAGAGTATTGACATTACTGGTCAAATTCCTTCATCAGATACTAACTATATTTCTGCCATCTTCCCTCGCCAGACCGAGTATTCGCTCATGCTCTCAATACCGTCAAGAGAATCCCCCGGTCGGGGTCGGTCAGGCCACCCCTCTCCGAACGGCTGAGGCTATATGGCTTATACAAGCAGAGCATGGGTACTTTTCTCCTCCCCCCTCCCGTCCCCTATACCGCTCAGACCTTCAAGAAAAAAAAAAAAAAAAAAAAAAAAAAATAGCAAATGGAAAAGAGAATGGAAAAGAAGAGAAGAATAGTGACAGAGGGAGAGAGCGTCTGCTGAAAGCTTGGTGATGACTTGTGAAAGTGCTGATTTTCGGGTGGTTTTCGTGATTTTTAGAGGGCGATGTGGAAGGGGTCATGGATCGGCCTGTCGGTGATGAAACGAGTTTACAAGCTGAGAGAGAGAAATGGTATGAAACGAGCATAAATAATATCCCGCTTGTTTTTTTTTTTTTTTTTTTTTTTTTTTTTTTTTCCTTGTTTTCTTTCCTTTCCTTTGCGCTTACACCTATAAGAAAAGAAACTTTAACTTGAAACCACGATGTTCACAATGCATGGGTTATCAGCGCCGTCTAAAACACTGAAAAGCTAACATATCTAAAAACCTTCTCCAATAGGGATGCCTGGTACGCACAACGCCAGCTATCACGCACCGAGGCAAAACGCCGGTACATCACTGTCTTACTAGACACAATGAACAAATACGCCTCCTCAACTCCAGAGGCCCGCGAGCTTATCGCCGAGCTAGAGTTCGTCTGGGATCAGATAAAATCAAACCCGTCCTCGTCTTCCTCATCTGGCAGCCCCGTCCACCTCTCCGGCATGTCACAGCCACCGTCGCAGCAACCATCACATATGATGTCTACAACCCCGCCCTCCCGGTCAAACTACAGCTATGGAAGCATTAGCGGCCGGATATCACGTGCCGAAGCGACGGTGGAGGAAAGGATGGAACGACCGTTACCTGCGGGGCGGGATTCGGGATTGAGAGTTCTTAGTCCTGTTAGCCAGCCAGATCATGACATCCCCGGGAGCGGCAGGAGGAAGTATAAGGCACATGGCGAAGGAAGAGATGGAGGAGAGGAAAGAGAATGGGGGAAAGAGGGGGTCGAGGACGAGGAGGATGACGAGGATTTCCAAGAAGCGCGCAATAGTCCTTATGAAGATGGTGACGATGACGACGACGACGACGACGACGACGGCGACGAAGATGATGATGACGATGGGCGCTCAGATGATGTTAATCATACTCGTAATGATACACGACAGCGGGACCCCGGCCGTTCGGACAGAGGAAGAAACCAAGATCGAGACCAAGATAGAACATCCAAAGCCACAGGATATAACCGCCGCTGGCGGCGGCGGTTCGAGCAGGCAATGACGAAAATGACAGCCGAAGTCGCCGCGATGAGAGAGCAGATGGAGGCGCGCGCGCTCAACAGTCGGCATCGCTCGAGTCTATGGGCATGGATTAAGTGGGCTGTGTGGATTGTTGTACGGCAAGTTTGCTGGGATATTTTGCTGTTTTCGTGCGTGCTAGTGTGGATGCGGATTGTGAAGGGGGATAGGAGGTTGGAGGAGAAGGTGAGGCGGCTGAGGATTTGGACGGAGGTGAGAAGGAAATTTGCGGCGCTTGTTGGGAGGGGTGAGGGGAGAGGGTTGGGTTTCCGATTGGAAGGGTTTCCCTAGGTTTTCGGTCTTCTTATAATTTTTGGACGGCGGTGTTCTTCCCTTTCTTTTATGAAGGGCGTAGGCAGGCAGATGGTATCTATCCCTTCTCTGCTTTCCTTTCTCTTATTATCGATTTCAGCCTCTTTTTTTTGGTCAATCCATTCCCAGAGGAACTCGTGCATATATGCGTCCATACCCCCCATATCATTCTTCTGGACGTTTTGTCATGACGTCCATGTATATTTGCAATACATACGTACATATCCTCCACCAACCAATTGTATTATTATTATATAGATGCATTCCTGCATATATCCATCCAATTTCCGCACTCCTTTTTCAAGGACACCAACTCCTCCTTCCAACGGTTGGCACCGAATACCAGACGCAGGGTTTTGGAGAAAATCTAGTTGATAGCGGGTTATCACTAAAGCCAGCAGCGGAAGCGCGCAAGCTTAGCGCCCGTCCCCCGTTCGACTGATTTTTCCCCTACGCCGGGTTGAAAAAAGGTTGAATGGCATGATTGATTGGATGAATCACCTACTGCCTGCTTGGATGATACCTATCACGTTTGCATTCATCTGAACAGTGCTCTCTATTTTTTTTCTTTTTTTTTTTTAAAAAAACATCCTTTCTTTCAAAGAAACTCCGGGCCACGCTTAGTTGCCGACTCTACAATCCCATGCAAGAGCGCGTATAAGACAAGAGTTATACATCCATACAAACATTTCTATGTTTATATGTATCGATATTCGTCTCCCAACCTCAAAAGTTGGATGATATAGCTCATCCTTTTCTCTCGTCGGTCACCGGGTTTATTTTCTCTTCGTTATCAGACCCATATACTCCTGGAAGAAGAAAGTGGGCGCTTGATAAGATATTCAAAATGGCGAATGATGATGCTCCACAGAAAGAGGCGAAGGAGGTTGTTGAGGACTTGCTTGAGTTGTAAGTTGATAGATAGAAGTTTCTTCCCTATTTTTGGGACACTCCAGGGAAGGGACAGAAAGGAAGAAAGAGGGATTGATTGTCTTATTTTGTTTCCCATCTATACTAGCCCTATGTTTAGTTACAAAGAAGACATGGAGGATAAGAATTTCAGAGTTAGTTTTGTGTAACTTTAGCAGAAAGAAGAGAAATAAAATGAAAAAATCTCGTAGGAATTTGCCTACTTCTCCCTCCCCCCCGCTCGCCTACTCTCTCACAACCGTTAGCTGAATAATGCATCTGTTTTATTAAAATATTCCCAACGCCAAAATTGTCTAATATGCTTGAGGTGTAGTGGTGGTTACTCCTGGTAGGGGAAGCGGAGGGGTGGGTTGAGCTGTGGCAATGGACGTGTGGTATATATTTCTGCTTTGGGTGGCCCTTCCGTTGTTTAGTTTTAAATATTTGTGTGTTCGCCAGTGGGTAGACTGATGGGAGTGTCTGGGTGTATGGTTTCTTTGGATTAGAAAGTATATAGAGCCACAAGCTGGCCAAAGTGTATTAATATGATATGAGTGAACTCGTATTTGAAAGGAAGAAAAGCAACCATGCGATCATTTCCGAACCAATAGAATATGTATATATATATATACAGAGCAGACGAAATCCTTTGTTTTTCTTAATTTTTCATTATTTCTAAGACACAAGCAAAATTTAATATTGCGGTCCGGAGTAATTCGCGTAGATTTGCGATTTCCGTAGATGAACGGGTACTGTTCCCTTGGGCGTATCGGGGATTTCTTTCTTTAGTCCCTATAAACGCCAGTAAATTGTCAGCCATCGAGGTCTATCATGTCTCCTTATGGACATCAAAATACAACACATACAAGCTTTTCAAACACACAAGTATTTAGCGCGTTCTCAGGCCTCCGACATTGCCATAGTTGATGGTTATTCTGTTCTAGACATTCAAAATGAGCCTTGAATTGCTCGAGGCAGTTTTCGTTGATATCCTTGATGCTAGACACAATCATGTAAGACCAAATTAGCATATTACAAGCAGTTTGTCACAATCAATTTCGAAAAATAAAAGAAGGGAAAAGGGAAAAAAAAAAGAATACGTACACACTAGCCGCACAACGGGTGACCTTCCGACCTTCCCTCAGGCAGTCCAGCTCGCCCTTCCCGTTGGACTCCATCTTGCACTTCATATAATCGTCATTGTAAGCCCTGCAGCGGTCGCCGATGAAATACGAAGCGCTCATCAATGGGGCAGATGTGGCACCGATCTCTTTGACCTTGGGGATATCACTGGGCATGGGGGTGGTGTCGATGAGCACATTTTGATTGAACCTGCATTACCACGAAAGAACGTGTGTGAATGGTCAGCCTGCTGTTTGACACCAGTAAGTAACTTGGCGGGTGGGGAGGAGCAATTGAGAGCCGTACTGAGCTCCGCGGCTCCCAGACATGGTGGCAGACTATGTGCCGTGCACAATTGGAGCCTTTGGGAATGGATACGGGAGGGCGCGAGAGGGACTGAAGGTTTGATTTTGATTCGGCGCAGTTGGGCTTTGGAGCTATTCGCAATGTTCTTCGATTGTTGTAGAAAAGGTTGGTGATGGATGGATTAGCTAAGCAGATAGTTAGTCGGCGTCGGGGTTATTGTTATCCCGGTCATGTTAGATATAAGTTGACTATCAAACCTCCTGAGTGGTCATGTTTAAAAGCTGTAACTTCTATTATTGTTACAGCTATTGCGGCAAGGGTCTGCCTTTCTCAGTTTCGTATGCTATCGAAACGGAAATGGAAATGATAAATTCAGTAGATTGATATTCTGTTGACTATTTGGAGCAAGTGCAAGCGATTCACCGATGCAAGACGCGGTGCAGCTATCCTTTGCGGGTTGTTGACAGAGATTCTTCCCTGGCAACGTCTTTCTTTCGTCTCTATCTCTCTTCAGTGGAGTGGTCGCTGGGCCAATTCACACTGTCAGGCTTTAATCTTCCAAACTTTCTATTCACCACTAAGTTTGTGATAGGGAAATCACCCCTTCCTACATATCGCGGACGGCTTCCATCAGGCGATTTTGTTTTGTTTTAGTTTATTTCTGAGCTCTCTTCTCTACCACAGAGCTAGCCCATAGCTATTGTGTGAATGTTCAACGGAATATTCTGTTCAATATTACTTGCATTTACTTTTTTTCTATCTTTTGAAATTGATTCGTTACAGTGTTCCTCTCACTTGGACTCGCTTGTCGAGGTTTTCCACTTCGAACAAGAGAATGGCGCAGTGAGATTAATTCCCCTCTAATGGAACTATACGTGTGAGCTAATTGTAAAATCAGATACGAACTGCGGACTGCAAGAGGTAGGTGAAGGCATTCGATCTACCTGTACTTGAATGAGGCCGCAGTTATATCTACTAGCTTCCTTGTGGGGTTTTCTAACTTTAGAATCAAGGGAGATTGAATATGGAGGATGGGCACTCAACGCTACCATTAGGTAACCTTGTGGACAATCGGAATATCCGAACTATTTCCCATCAACTGAAAATCTACTGTCAATGGACCGGCTTTTGGTATAAGGGAAGGACTGACTGGTCAATTTAGGGCCATCGAACCATCAAGGCGATTCCCCAACCCCAGCGCGCAGAGGCACCGGGGCCCTGATGCGGAGAGAGAGGGGTACACCTGTTTGGATTCGAGGCCGTGGCGCCAGAGGCTCGAACCGGTCGCAACACCAAATCGCTGGACCGTTTGATAACAGAGGCGGTCCCCATGCTACGAGTAGGTTGAATTGCTTTTGTGCGAGGACCAGTAGTAATACATTTTGCTAATTGTTCTTCGCCGTACATAAAGCCCGAAAGAAGGATGATAATTTTGCCAAAATCACCCGCTACCTCACTGCTAAAGAAATACGCAATGATCTTAACGAAAAGCGCCAGTTGATGATTGAGCAGTACAGGCAGAAGCCTGATCCCTCAATCAAATTTCGAGAAACGGCACGTATAGTGTATATTTATTGTGGTGAATATCTAGAGGGCTAATACGTTAATGAAAACGGTAGATGCTATTCCTATGGCCAGAAGATGAACTTCCACTGGAGATGACCCTTGGCAAAAGCTTGGAAGCCTTGGATCCTATTCGTGCAGATTTCGGCTATTATATTTATTTGTATGATGATTCTCCAGACCACCAGAAATACATTCGAGTCGATGGTGATGACCACGGAAAGATTATCGAGATTGTGAAGCAGCTCCGAGCAAAGTGTGCCAATCTCCTCGCTGAAACAGGTGTGAAGACGAAATTATATCTTGTCCAGGCCCCTCCCGTGGACATCTTGAAAGCGGAAATAAGCTTAATGAAATGCCGCCAACCTGGCAGCCCGAATATACAAGCGGCACCTTTTCTTTGTGGAGTAGAATTGTTGGACGACGACGCTGGGGTTGAAAGGAAAAATCTGCTTCGTGAGAAAAATGAGCAACGTATGCATAGCGCCGTTGATCAGTCTCTTCACGGCGTTCGGTTTCTTGCGGGCCATGTCCGGATGCGTGTAAATTTCGGCAAATTTGTTCTTGAGAATTACCGGATTCCCCCCAACTCGAAAGAGCGGTATTCTTTTGAGGAATTTCGAAGCATGCTTTTGTATGCCGGCACGAAAGGTCGCCTAATTCCCGGGTACGTCTCCTGCAACATAAACGTGAAAGAACTCATGTTAACCTAAAACCATGTGTCTCCAAGACTCTGCTTCAACCGTGCTGAAGGTGACCTGATAACTCGATGCTCACAGGCGTCAGATCTTCTCGCACCATTTGACCCGCAAATAGAATCATTGGAAAACAATATACCTCTCTATGCGGTAAATATCGAATTCGAAGGAGCTAATGGTGCATTGCTTCGCCTGGAGGTTGAATTTAAATCATCCCGTTATCGACCAGACCTTTTTGAGGTATCACATCGTCGTTGGTTAAAGCCTCAAAGTGACAATGGACTCGGAGAAAAGCGACCGCCACTTCAAATTGGGATTATCGACTTCGAAAGGTTTGTGTCTTCTGAGGCCATTCAACCTGGTGTAGAATTTTATCTAACACCCCAGGACTAGGTCTGATTGGCAGCTAGAAATCAAAGCATTGGATTTCCAAGAACAATCTAACATTGAGCATTCCCTTAAAAGCTTTGACCATTCAATCCAATTCACGAGAGGCCTTACTGATGGACTTCGTGGCGCCGCAACGCAGCGCGTGTCATTTTCTAACATTGCTCCCGTTTCTCAAATCACAGAGAAGTCGGCCCTTAGATATTGTCTTAAAGGTACTAAATACATCTTTGAGCTTGCACGCTACGATACATATCATCGCGCCGCATGTTCAGGCCGCCAATACACTGACGACTGCAGCCAAATGAGTAAAACGGCTGAAACAACGTGGGGTGCCTCAATTTACTGTCAGGAATGGGACAATATGCTGGGCCAGAACGGTAGCTTCAGAGTTGGGGAAACCGCCGACTGGAGTGCCAGCCTTAATATTTTTTTTCCTTGTTTGTCTGACGAGGACTCAGCGGATGAAAATGCTGGCTTTCATCAATTTATCGGCTTGGTCAACAAGGTTGCGAAGCTTTTGGCACCTGAGAAGAATAGTATCGGTCGTTGAAAGGGTTGAAACTAATCCTTGTGGAAATATCAAG